AATATAGCCCCCAAAAAATATACAAGTGCAAAGCAACTGAAAGTTTTTAGCAGCTTTCTCTTATCTCAAAAAATGGAAATCACTTCAATTTGTTTGAATAATTAAATGAATGCCAAAAAGAATTTGTACAATTTTTGATAATGGGGCAATATTTTTTATCATGCACCGAATACCTGTTCAGTTCGGATTTGAATTTAATTTGTGCGACACTTAATTTGCATTTGCACCCAGAGCCTACTGCACTCTGCATCTGTGGGCACTGATAAGCCGCTTATTCTGGCCACAATTTTCTCACAAATTTATGGCTCGATGCAGTGCCGTGCCGTGCGGTTCGTTTCGTTTTGGTTTTAATGAATGCTTAATAAGCATTTGTCATATACATAAGCAATGCCGTTTTCGCATTAAAATTGATTTCAGTTGCTATGCAATTTACAATTCATCTTCGTCATAAAACGCAGCCAGGCAGGGAATTTCGCGGGCACTTATCGAAACTCTCTGAACAACACATACATATGCACGTACACCCTCATACCCGTACCCCTCGTAGCCATACACGTACACGTGGACAGACCTCTCTGCATAAACTATGCATTTCAGTTCAATAACAAAGCTGGCCTGGCCTGGCCTGCCCCCAAGGCCCGAGACTGGCCATATGTGTTCATTCCATTTGGTTATTCCCCGCATTAACGAAATCAACATTTAAATTGCAAATTGTGTGTATTTTGATTGAAAAATGCCGCGTTGACGGTTGCGCCCCACACCACCACTCCCCCCACCCGCAGCAGTGCCACACAGACAGATAAAAGTAGGAACAAGGAGGAAGGATGGGCTTGATTCGAATTGATGCGCCGAAGACTTACACACCCTTTCAGATTCGTTTAGATAGATTCAGAGAATTTTAGCAGAGTGATTCCTGGTGCCAGGAGAAATATGTAAGAAATATTTGGTTGAATGTAATACGTTTTTTAATTGCAAATTTTTAATTCCATTTTGGCGCTCTATTAACAATAACCGACTTGTGGCTATAATGTGTGTATGCCTAACCTATGAACTGACCGTCCAATGATTCCAAGAGTTCAGTCCGACGGCATTGGTTGTTGTGCATCCGTTTAAATCCTATGGGGCACGGTTCTGATAGTTCATTGTTCTGAGAGTTTTTTGGAACTTCATCTTGGCCCAGCACCAGTATAGCGAGGAGCAGAAGCTGTAGCAGTATGAACTTCATGCTTCGGCGGCTAAGTGACGAATGAACGAATGTGTTTTTTACGTTTCTAAGACTATGGATAATACTGAAACATTTCAATTGGTTTTGGAAAAACAAAAAGGGTAAAATGTAAATTTTCGTAGTTTGTTAGTTGAAATATAATTATAATTAATGTCGCTGACATAGAGGTACTCATACTTGTATTACGTTTATTATAGAAAAATATGCACGTTATCTTCATACAGATTAATGAATTATTTACTTTACAGCCTCGGAAATGTTCCTTCTTTGCACGTAAAACAATTCGTAAAGATCATACAAAACCCATTGATTCCATTTAGTTGAAAAGATTGGGGCGGCTAGCCATTGCCCTGATGTTGGATGGTTAATATTCGCCCACATTGGTTATTAGGCAACACTTTGTATCCCCAGGGGCATCGTATGGGAGTTGCTTGCTGTTGGGGTAGCGCCAGAATAGCGAGGAAAAGCAGCTGCCAGACTACAAACTTCATGCTCAAGCGACTGAATGTGGAATGTTCAGTTGTTGGTTCAGTTCATGCATCATTGGCTATGGCTAATACTGAAACTTATCAATTGGTTTTAGAAAAAAAGTAAATAAACTACTATTTTTTAATTGAAGTAGTAGACTGAGAGACTTGCTTTCTCAGCTGCTCGCCATATATTTTTTATGAAATTATAAAAATCATACAAAGCCTTTTTAAAGGAAAGGGTATACAAAAAATTGTGTTGGTGCTCGACAACAGAAGCTTGGTCTGATCTGGTTCGGACGGGAGGATTGGTGGATTGGTGGATTGGCTGCTGCCTTGGACTTTGTCTGTCTGCAGTCTGGACAGCTGCTGTCTTCGCACATGCAATTTGCTGCTCTTTTGTGCAATAAAAAAAAAGCCGCCGCACAAACAACAATGAACATTTCCAACGCATTAATGTGCGACATTTGAGGAGTCTCCTCGTACTCGTACTCCAACTCAAACTCGTGCTCGTTCTCGTTCTGGGCTCTCGATTTTTATACTCATCCTTTCTCTTTCAATGCGCCAAAGTGCAATAAAAATGCAAAAGCGAATTCGAATTCGAATTGATTGAACGGCAACACACATACCCACCCATCACCCATACATAAACACACACACAGTCGTCACAGTCGTCACGTCACACGCACGCACAATGGGTTAAGGGAAAACAAGAGCCCGAAAAAATGTGTGTGGAAAAAAACGAGAAAATTATTCATTAACACATGCGTAAAATGCAAAAAGGAACATGGCCATAAATAAATAATTGATAAATTGCAGATGAATTTTCATATTTAATGATGTTTAAGTGAGTGGGTGGCTCAGAGCGGATCGGAATGGAAGAATGTGGCTGTGGATGGGTGGCTGGCTGTGAGTGAAGCATTGTGAAGTGGTGCGAATGGAAATGCCCATTTTGTTCGCATCTGTGTGTGCAATAATATTATGTTAAAATATACGATTACAATTCGGTTGCTCCTTTTGCTCCTTTTTTTTTTACGACTCAAGTTGCGTGTCCCCACACACAAACACACACACATACCCATTGCGATGTCGCACAAGAGTGCGTATGAAAATTGATTGTTGCTTTATTTATGGCCTCGCACACACTCGCAAAGTAGACATAAAAAATTAAGACAAACATAAAATGCAATCATGCAGCTCGGTCTGGATAAAAATCTAGCAGTTGTCAGGCAGCAGCCATCCACCTCCGCCCTGTCTATTTGCCTGATTTGGTTTTACGTGCGTCGGGAGACGCCACAGAAAGTACCAAAAAGCGGCACTAACATGGTTGCTCACAGATGCGGGGCACATGTAATAAAACGCATACAAATTTTCCTCTAACGAGCAACGTTTTTACGATCTGGCAATGGACAAAAGAGTGGGGAGGTGTCGCCTTAAGTTCCAGCTGCAGGTTCTTGTCTCCAAAATTTTACTGGACTGGTTAATGATTTTTTAGATTGAGACTGAAGTTGATTGTAAATGACGTGTACTCTGAAAAGGGTTGAAATAATGACGGGTCAGTGGTACATGAGCCTGTCAATCGATCAACTTAGGGATAATTGATTGCTGCCAACAAATAATTAAATCATTACGATAATTTATGGTTATTAATGAGCTGCAAGCAAATCACAGTACACAGTTCAAAGAATGAACAAAAGGGAGCCCAAGGAGCTCTAAAATTGTACAGACAGACAGCCTAAATGTCTATGTATCTGTGTGTTTTAGCTGCTCTCATCTGTGACAAAACTCTTGGCCAGAGATTATAGTAGAGGATTAATTAAGCAAAGCAAAGCAAAGCAGCTTCAGCTGCAGCTCTATTGTTCGCCTCAACAGAGAGGCAATATTCATCCATCTGCAAGTGGTGCTGCTGCAGCCTGCCCTGATGGAATGCGTTGAATATCCTGCCCTGGTCCGACTGGGGCCCTTGCAAAATATGTAATTAAACTTAATGAGTGTAAAATGCTTGTGTCCTGGCCCAGGATCCTAGTCTGTTCGTTCCGACTGCAGCATCGAATCAAATGCTGTCAGAGAAAATCAAGTCATTCATTTGTCAATTAGATGACAATGGACTTGCACCCGACTCGACACGACACGGACACGGAGCACACAAAAACCAAAAGACAGTCCGACAAATGTTAAACGTAATTGCATTTGAAATTTTATGAAGTGAAGTCAAGAGTTAACTCCGCCCACATTTTCTAATTTGGTATCGCTGATGAAATGCATTTCATTAATATTTATTTGCCCAAGGAACAATACGAAAACCAGCTGGAGGAAATGACACTAGGCCACTGTCAGACGTGTGGGCTTAGCAGGCGCTTTGCGGGCTGTTCCATTTTTAGTTACATATTCCATAAATTTCCAGACTTTCCAAAGACAATGAAATCTAAAACTAAATCTAAATCTACATCGGTGCCGCCCACTGCTCGGCAGTTGGCCCGTCAGCGTCGTGAGCGGGAGAACCGCTTGGCCATGACAGTAGCTCGTCATGCCGGATATCGCTATAGGTCCGCGGACGTACAGCCAGCCGTTGAGGGACCTCCCATCTTCGATAACTACCAGGAGTTTGTCCTCGATGCCACGCAGATGCGACGAATGCAGCGATACAAGCGGAAGGCCATACGCGAACAAATCGGCGGTTGAGCCGCTTATGCTCGGTGCTCTGAAACACTCACTCCCATACTTAGTACCGAAATTGTAGCATTATATCTGTTGCTGTTTTTCAATTAAAGCTTTGTTAATTACGGATGGGAAGCCCCTTTGTTTTTTGTGTGTAGTGCCAAACAGATGTTGCAGCATTCACATTTAAAACTTTCGCATATTTTTTGCTGCTTATTGTTATTCTGCTTTATGTTTTTGTGCCACTGGCCCACACCAGTGCCCTCTGCACACACCTGCCGCTGCATATTCGACACTGTCATGCGGCCGGGCCATTGTTTATTATCGCTTTCGGTATGTGATTTGAAAATTTGCACAAATTTTCCACAAATATTATGGTATGTTTTTATTCTATTAAATGTGCACGCCGCAGTCTGTTTAACACTTGCCCGAATAGAATAGAATAGAATAGAATAGAATGGAGTGAAGTGGGCTTTTGGGGGGTATTATTCTGCGTACATTAACCTTAGCGGTCGATGCATTGTCAAAATAATTTTCAGAGTGGTTTTTGCTGCAATTCGATTGAATTTTATTGGCTGTGGGTTGAGTGATTGGAACAGGAACTATTTGGTTGGTTGCCAGCATTCAATTCCGTAATTCCGTAATGTATTCCATAGTTTTGCTGTCATAGTTTTTATAGGCTAACCTGTTACAATATTCCATTTATATTTTTGAAATTTTTAACGTTTGTATTATGGCTGAACGGACACGAATCGTCAAACCAATCATCACCTACGATATGGTGGTGCACAATTTACCCTGCGAGAAAGATGATAAGATACGATTGCCAGATGTCTGGGACGATGGCAAGGGCATACCAGGAGCGACTTTAAAGGACAAAGAGGAAGATATGGAACACACAGAAGAGCAGGAAGCGAGTGTCGAGGAGAATGTTGAAGCCAAGTCGGAAGAGAAATCTGAGCTGGCGGCGGCTGCTTCTGCTCAATCGGAAGCTGAAGCCCAGGAAGAAGTGAAATATGCCTGGAATTCGCCGTGCATGATGATTATATTCGAAGATGGCGATGTCAATAGTGCACTCCACCATTTGGTTGAGTCCCTGCAGAATCCCTTTGCCCTGGATGCGGTGGCCACAGTGTTGGTGCAGGAGAAAATAGCGGAGGAGCTCTGCCAGCGCATAGGCGATCTTTTGCATCCATTGGATGCCCGGGTAGCCAATCACCCCAACTATTTGCGCACTCTTGGTAAATTGGCCATGCTAAAACCAAAGATCGTGGCTGGGAATCCAGACAATGTGCCGGCCCAGGCCACGCCCATGATCGTACGCGATGTGCCGCACCATTATCTGGGCGTTGGTCCCACCGGCATCATAACCATGCACATCTTTCGCACTCCGCTCGAGGCCACACTGGTCTATCACAAGGAATCGCTGCCCATTGCCTCGGTCAGCATTTGGAATGAGCGAGTCGCCAGCATGTACGATATGGTGGCCGTCATCAATGTCGATACATTCAAAATCAACTGTTTCGATGTGGACTTGGCGCCCATCAAGCGAACCTTCGAGTGCCGGCGTTATAGTGCCCACATGAGCCGTGGATATCACTACGAGTCCTTGATGTTGAATGAGCAGCGAAAGATTGTGATCTTTCCCGTGGGTTCTATTTATGCAAATTGAATATTTCTGGAATTAAATAAATTATAACTCTCTCTGCCTAATATCTATTCTGGAATGAGAATGTAATAATTTCTTTCCCCTTTTAACTCTTGACTCCATTATTTTGCACATTCTTAGCTTACAGTTTTAAATTCAATATAACTTTGGCCATTTTATCCCACTCTCTCTCTCTCTCTCTCCCTCTATCTGCACCTTTGCTATCCTCTCTATCTAATGTATGCAATCTCATTCAAATTGCGGGGCGGGACCTTTCAACAACTACTTATTTACACACACACACACACACACAACAGGGGAGGGCAACCAATTGGGGGCACATGGGAGCCCGCACTTTTCCGTACGCTAATCTAAATTAATGCCTCTTACTGCGGATCAGAATAGGCGGCGTGGAACGATGTTTTATCATTCAATTAAAAACAACAAAAAAAAAACGAAAACGAAAGCAGGAAAAATAGGAAACGCGTGCATAGAAAATGCGCGAAACAAGCCAGCGGATTTTCATGCGCATTCCCCGCTCACCGCTTACCATTCCCCGTTCGCTGTTGGGCCGTTGAAACGCATTGGTAAAACAATTTGCACCAGAACCGCCAGCACCGCCCCACCCACCACCACAGACGAAATAATGAAGTGTTTAGTTGATTATCTGAACGCACGGGCCCGTATCCGGATCCGGGGTAACCAAGTCGGAATGCAAACAGTATACAGGAATTGCTTGGCTTTTTCGGTAGGACGCTGGCAGGCAGTAGTTGGGCTCTTTAATGCGCAAATAAACAGCTAACAAGTTGGCAATACTCGTTGGAAAAACCAAAAAAAAAAAAACCAACTCTAAAATGGCCGGAGGACCGATTTGAATTCGAGGGAATGCCACACATATGCCTGTGCAACTGACACAGGTACGGCACGGTACGGTACGGCATGGGATTTCAAAGTTTTGAACAAAAGCACAGCTCGATGAAGGCGCCGGGGCGTGGCACGCATTGTCTGAAGGTAAGCCTTTTTGCGGTGCACGCTTTTAGGCGCCCGCACCGAACCGAACCGAACCAAGCCCCACGCATTTGCAATGATAACCGAAAATGTAACGTTGAGCGTTGCGGAGAGGTTTTGGTGTGGTATGTTGTGGTGTGGTGTGGTGCCGTGTACAGAGACCATATTTCACGGGTAAATCAAACAGACAACAGATGGACGTATAGATAGTTGGCTGGGCGGTAGTGAAAGGCGTAGGGCGTAGAGCGTAGAGGCGTAGGCAGAGGCGTATGCGTAATGCCTTGAATTGCCTTGCCTTCGATCAGCCACGATACTGGATTTACTGGATGTCTTAATTAAATTTGATTAGCTGTGTGCGCAAATTAGTTAGTTTTGCATGGGAATTGATGAGCGTGTTGAGTTTGCCGACTAATTGGCTAATTGATTGATTGTTGGAGTTGTTGTCTATTGCCTTCCCCCGCCTGCACCACTTTGGAATGTTTGTCTAATTGCGCCTCGAAAATGCAGATTGAATTAGAGGCAAAGGCAGGGGAACAGGAGCAGGAGCAGAAACAGACCCAGGCCCAGTTGGAGTTGCTATTCTTTGTGTGCATTTCCTAATGAAAATCGAATGATTACATACCAGCGCCAAGAGCACCTCACACTTTGCAGTGCATCAAAAATGCATAAGCCATAGCTCTCGTACGCGCTTGGAACGTGAATACCATTCAGGGAATACTCTCTGATTTTAATCAAATGTTTGCCACGAATATTTATTTAATTAATTACATTAATATTGATTCAAATATTTGTATTAAAAAAGCATTCAGGAGACTTAAAAGTTGCAATCATTTGAAGGGAAATTTCAGAGGATAATTAATAAGAAATAGGACTGTAAAAAGAATCATTTTGAGCGCGGCTTAAGTTGCGGGTGGGTCTAGTTTTATTTTTAACCTGTATATTACTATTGTAAAAATTATTTGTGCAACAGTAGCTCGTATTCCTTTGTGGGTAGCTTATAGTAGGGTATCTAAAGCTTCGTGCCTTAAAAGTTGGCCATTCATTTTTGTTTTTCCATTTCTGAACGCAGATTCCATTGCTGGGGTCCAAGGACCACCAGCACCACCCCCCTTCCACTCTCCTTAATACATATCGAAATAACCTTGGTCCGAAATTCGCCCAAAAGAATAACTGTGCATTGTTTGCCAAGAAGAAATTTCTGGCCCCTTGGCCTCCCCCCTTTGGAATGGTCGGTTGTCAGAGTTACCCCAGGGAGACGGCCATTGGTTGGGGAGATTGGTAGGAAAAGTGCTAAAGTTTCCACTGCGCGCATGAAATTTCCACTTTAGTTGTGTTTTCTAGTAAATTTTTGTATTTGTTCTCTTTGTTCTCTTTTTGCTGTTGTTGTGTACATACATATCTATATATACGAGTATGTATGTATGTATGTATATTTGTGCGAATATTACCCCCCTCCCCATTCTATATACTCGTACTTGAGATCTGCTCACCCCTCAATGGCGCGTGCTTATTTCAAGTAGTTGAAATTATTTTATAGTATAAAACTTTAGTTTTTTAACTTTGGACGTGGAAAGGAGAGCTCTGGCACTGGCATTGGCACTGGCTCTGGCTCTGGCTCCAGCTTCTGTGCTTCTGTGCGCTTCTCTTCTCTTTTGGGTTCTGCCTTGGTTTTGGACTCTTCTGACCATGCTCTGCCCCATATTTCCACCCAATTCTGCCCCTAGGTCTGCACCGTGTTGCTTTCTGTTTTGCTGTGCTGTGCTGTGTGGCATTCTTCGCCCTTCCGTCCATTTGGCCTCCTCACGCGCTTTTTGTTTTAGCATATTTATATTTTAATAAGCATTCTGGCAGCTGCGCTACAGCGCCTGCCATTTTACTTTTGCCCAGCTCCTTTGCTCTGCGTAATTTTACTGCAATTTCTGACAGTTTTAGAAATCTTGGGCGAGCAGAACTTATAGACCCAAATGCGCTCCTCCTGTCAGCGGCAAATGGCAACGGGTTGGCAGACGGGGCAACGTGGCGTATGATTGTTATTAATTCCATATTATGTGTAAGAGGATGCTGCGCTGTTTTGCCTGTTTTTGCCCCAGCGCAATAAGCAATAAGCGTCAGATGAAATGATATTTAATGTCAGCGCCGCCAAAGCGACTACTGAAGAAGGCATCGAGAGGTTCTGCTGCCTCTGCAGCAGCCGCCAGCGATGGGTGGAGTGTCGAGTAGCACTTTGAGGTGCAGTTCAAGTGGTTCATTGAAGCACAAAAGTGTTGAGATTGTAAGGAAGTGTTGGGGTTGAGTACCCAGACCAGACCAGACCATTTGCATAAAGTGCGGTTAATCTGAGGGTTATTATGGAGTGGAGCATCGAGTGGGGAAGATACTCACAGTACACACACAGGCTGATTTAATTAAAATTCAATTAAAAGTCGTTGTTTAGTTTAACGTTGAATGGGGAAAATCCATCAGCAGCAGCAGCAGCAGCAGCCATGCTTCAATGACTTATTGTTGCCATTCTCCTTGCCACAATTGTTAAACATTTTCACTTCAATACAATGCTCTGGCGGCGGCAGTGTCCTGTCTGCTCTACACGTGAATTGTGTGTATATGTTTATGACAGTGTGCGTGTGTGTGTGTGTGTGTGTGTTGGCCATTGTGTTTGTAGCAAAATATAATCATAAACGTAATTTAATCGCGCCAAACTGCGTCTGTCACGTACTTGCCAGGCAACAGACAGGCAACACACATCGATACATTATACATATATACACATTGTTGGAGCCCACAGATACACACATTATTGATGCTCAGACGCACACACACAAACACACTTACAATGTTGAGCAACGCTGACAACACAGAAACAGTTATTATAATTCAATTCGGGGCCATAATAGCGTCGATTCAATGTAGTAAACACGTTGAGGCGAATCGTTGGCGACTTGCCACCAAATCTAATGATCACCTGCAGAAGGAATTGATTTTGTTAGCCCAAGCACGTCATACCCCACAAACGAGCAGCACACATATAAAACTATTGCATTGTACCTTTGCCTCCCCCATTGAATTAATTACGAATGTGGCAAAAATGTTTGAAATTAGTTTGTGCTAAGAATGGGATTATAATGTATAATTTTATAATGTTAGCTTGCATGCAGCCAGGGGATCCTGTTTAAATGAAATTAAAGTGTTTCTATGATAATGAGAGTGTTAGAGAAAACTTAAATTAAAAATCTGAAAGCATTCGGGCGACACTTTCAAGATGATTTTCCTACCTCCCCCAAACCACGCCACGCCACACCACATCAATGCCGCTGCATCGTTCATTTACTGTGGCAGGTCGGTTCTTTTGCAGCATCAGCAGAGATTTCTGCCATATGCCAAATCATCGGAAGACTTGCGTCTCCGCCTTTAATGCAACGCAGTTCCGGAGTTCCGGAGTCCGTAGCGAATCAGTCACGTGTGCGCGAAAAATCAAAACGATTTGTGACGGGCTGTCTGTCTATCTCCTGCCATACCCTTACCCCAACCCTTAACCACCTGCCATGTCCCATGTTTCATGTGTTCCGTTCTTGTGTCTAAGTCTTTTGTTTGCCATTTGCCGTAGCACGAGGAGCAGTGGCGTGAATGCGCGTAAATTACGGCTGACAGGAGACGGCTTCGTTGGGTATGCCTTTGCCTGATTGATGCGCTTCGGCTATGCAGCGCTGCAACTTGCGCCACTTAGCCATAAGCCGCAGATCCGCAGCGTTGCAGCAGCAGAACAGAAATCGGAGCCATTCCGATGGCACACGCATGACAGCTGCCATGTGCTGCTGCTGCTGTGGCATCTACCACCTCAACCAGGGTCGGGGAGGGAGCATGGCGGAGGGGCTCCTAAATGCGTTGCGTGGCCGCTTTGTCCTTGTCACCTTTTTAGTTTTCGGTGTTGACAGCCGCCTGCCATCTCTCTGGTACTCGTCGTACTCCAAGCTTCAGCTTCAGCTCCCAGAGTGCATTTATCTCGATCTGGAATGCCTTTTGAATAACTTGCCATATAAGTGTGTGTCTCTGCGTGTGTGTGTGTGTGTGTGTGTGTTTCCGTTTCCGTTTCCTTTCAGCTCAGCAGGCAGCAGTCAGCAGCTTAGTCGTGTGTCTGCGTGTCCTTGTGTGCGTATTTGTCAAAAGGATTTGGCAGTGATTTAGCTGCTGGCCCAAATTTCATACCAAATTCTATCTCTTTGCTGGTGCTGCTGCTGCTGCTTCTGCTCTCGAGGATTGGCTGACTGACAACGCCTCTGTCTCTGTCTCTGCCTCTGTCTCTGTCTCTTTTGTTCCTCTCTCCCTGACAGTAGACAGGATTAGGTCGCGCTGCAGCCTTTTGGCCTGTCTGTCGTCCTGCCAGAGCCGCCTGAAAATTAGCTGCCTAATTGTTTGCCAAAGCCGCAACTTTGGCCATTTCTTCTCTGCTTTTGGCCAGAGTTACCATCGCCAGTGCCAGTGCCAGCGCCAACGCGTTTGCCACCGAATGACAGCTGAATAATGTGCGCCCCATAAGCAATTAACGCGCCTGCGAGGCTTACACGCGTACGTGTCTCTGGAGTAAGGGCGATGCCTATGTGTGTGTATCGGGATGGCTGGTGGGATGGCTGCTGTGCTGTGGTGTGCTGTGCTGTGGTGTGCTGTGGTGTATCTGTGTATGCAAGCTTACAAATTGAGTCAATAATTTTGGTGGAGAATGCCTCCAGCTCGCGGCGTACTCGGTGGCACTTTGTGCATAATAAATAAACGCCATGAAATACGCGACTTAACACGCAATGTACAGCAAAGTCGTCGCATGTCTCTCTGTGTGTCCCTCTCCACGTGGCGGGCCCCCTTGCCTTGCTGTGTGTGTGTGTGTGTATGGGTAAGCACCATATGACACCACCTTGACTCATTAATTACGCACTGGCATTTTTATTTTCATTGCATACTTTTATGCAATTTATTATTACAGCAATGCGGCGGGGGTAAAGAGCCAAGCGGAAGGGGAGGGCGCGCATAAAAGTTGAAATACAAATTGCCTTTTTTTTGTACATGTATGTATATATTTTGCATACACTTGTGACTTATTTATAGAGGAAGACATAACACACACACTCACTCACGGAGAGAGAGACGGAGACTGTGGCGAGCTGGACAAGCCACAAATGAAATGTATTCTGGATTTTTGAGCAGCTCTCCATCTTCACTCCGGCCAAGCGTCGCCTGATTGCCAATGTGCTTGGGGCATATGCATTACAGTGCGTTTCATGCGTGTAGGCCAAATAAATAAATAAATATTAATATATTGGAAAATTTAAAGAATATTTTTAAAATACTTTCGTGGGAGTCTGCCAGTTGGGAAAAACTTATTATTATAGATATGTGCAGCTTTTTATTGATATATAAGCTCATGCACCTCTGGTCATACGGTTATGTCACGCACTGTATATCCATAATTGAGCACAGGAGCATTATTTTTACCTCTTTTTTCGGCGCATGTAATTGCCATTGACATTTCAACTGGAAACGTTCTGTCGGCATATATCCTTTAATCAAAGTGTAGCTAAACTCAATTTTGGTCTGGAGCGGAAGCTGCTTTAATCTTAGCCCACAGATCGCAGAGGGCAGCCAAGCCCTACCGAAAAGCCAAATAAATATTCACTTTTTACTTTACTTTACTTCACTTTACTTTAGTTGTTGTTGTGGTTGCATTATCATTGTCGTGGTTGGTGGTGGTTGGGGCCCGACTGCTGTGGGGCAACTCTGTGTGGTCGAATATTCCCCAAAGAATCTGATGCACTTATCGCAAATTACTTTGGCAGTTGCAGCACAGCCACAGCCACAGCTACAGCTACAGCGCTGCAGCGTTTCTCTTTTGTATATAAATTTAACAATTTACCCATACAGTGGCGTGTGGGGCGGGGGCATGCGTATTTTTCCCATACATTGGGGATTGTAAATTACCATACAAACACACACACACACGATACACAGATACACAGATGCACAGATACAGATACAAATATACTTTGAGACTAAATGTGTTCAAAGAACGTACAATGTCCAGGGGAAGAACAGAACAGAACAGGATTTGTGGAAAAGTTTTACCCCCCCAAAAACAACAACTGGCAAACATGGCGTATGCATAATATTTCCTTTGCCACAGATGCATGACCATGTTTGCCCAGCTACAAACTTCATTAACAACCCAGCCACAAGGCAGCCAAAACCAATGGTAATGCCAAACCACCATCTGCAGATGCCTCAGCATCACAGTTGCACTTGCAGGCAGCTGTCTGTTGTCCCAATTAGCCGCGGACTTGCTGCACATTTTTAAAGGCGAAAACACTTGGCCCGAACTCTCGTCAATTAGCATTTGTTTTTCGGGGCGTTTAATGGCCATCCAGCTGTTGTGTTGTTGTTGCTGCACATAATTTATGGCTGCCTCCGCGCTGGCTTCATAAGATGTTAACGCGCACTTAATGCCACTTAAAAATACGCATAAATCGCGAAGAGTGCCAGCCACGAAACGGAACGGCAAGGGAAGGGATTGGAATTGGGAGAGGAGTTGCAACAACGGCAACGGCAACTGTTACCCGACGGCCACTTGTCCACTTACATGGCTACTTACAACGCTGCTCAAGCATATGCATGCAGATGCAGATGACCATGTTTCACCCAGCTCCCAGTTCCCAGTCCTGGTCCACCCATCATCAGGAAGAGCAGCAGCAGCAGCTGCAGCTGCAGAAAAACAAGGTCGTGCAGGGGACAACGCAGCAAACAAAAAAAAAAACACAGAACCAACACCAAATAAATAACAGGAAAGAAAGAACTGAATTTGGCGCCGTAGCTACAGATACCCTTTGGGAACTTAAAAAAATGATTCAATGCAGTGATTGTATCTTTACGCAGATCTCTTTTTTACCTGTGCAAAGGTTCCAGCAGTTAACTTTTAGTGCTGAGGGCAGATTAACAATTAATTGTAGTACCCTCTGAGAGGGTATTCAAACAGAAAACAGAAACAGAAACTGCAACTGGGAAAGCGACTGCGACTGCGGCACGCAATTAAGTGCATTTAATTAATTATTGTTGATAAAATAATATTTTTGCAATTTATTGTCCAAGCAGCAGTAGGGGGGGCTGATGGTGGGATTGAGAGCTGGTGGGCGTTGGGCGTGGGCCCCCAGCCAACGTTATTTATGCATATGTGAGCGCAAATAAATAACGCAGACTGTGGCAGCAGAAAAAAAAACGCGCTGGATACCCGTTGCTGCGTTGACGTTATCAGAGAGCTGGCAGTAACCCGGCGGGCCACTGAGATATCGCTTCGGTGGCAGCAGCAGCCAGCAGCCTATCGCTAGGCCAAATCGCAACCGCAATGGCAGCAGCGACAGTGCAACGGCAGCAATGCAGCAGTGCAACAGCAGTGCAGCGACAGAGACTGCTGGCAGATCAATTCGAATAACAATAATTTCTTCCGGTCGAATGGCAACCAGCGGGGAGCAGACAAACAGACAGACAGACAGACAGCGGCAGAGATGCAGATATGCGGCTGGGAATGTATCTGCAACTGCCATGGCATTTGTATTGTATCTGTGTGTCTGCATTGTTTGCGTGCATTTCAAACCGGATGCGCATAAGTATACGAGGATTGACAGGATGCACGGGCCGTGCACTCGTGCATTTTGGCTGCTGCTGTCCACGTGTCCAGACGTGCCCGCCCACGCCCCCGCCCATTACTAATTTGTATTTGTTTTTTTTCCACCAAGTTAATGAATTTCATATAATCGGAATTAATGTGGAAATTATATGCGTTGACATTGCGGCAGACAAAGGGAGTCTCCGCCTACTGGAGGCCTGGATTCCAACGGGCCGAATTTGAGTTCACTTGACAGTTGCCTCACCTGATGCAATAAATTGTCAAAAGAATTTTCAACTATATTTAATCAAATGCATCTCGAAACAATGACAATTGTAAATTTCGTTTCGATAGAGGACTCGAAAAGTGTGCAGTCCGAAACATTCGACAGAAGATTCGAACATTCGCAAGGATCTGCCCTTTTTGTAGGTTAACAAGGGCCGCAAGGACCATAGCCACAGGGTCCAGGTCCACAAGGCCCACATGGCCCGCATGGCCCGCAGGGGCCGCATCCAGGACCGCACGGCCCACATGGCCCGCAAGGACCGCATCCAGGACCACAGGGGCCACAGGGCCCACAGCGTCCCTCGGCAATGGGATACTGGTTGGTGGAGAAGCACGGCAAGGGGCAGCATCCTCCGCCCGGGGCACAGGGTCCAATGGGGCACGGCGGACAGGCGGCGCTCGGCTTGTAGTTGATGGGTCCGTTCGGGTAGCAGCAGTACTCCCTCGGAGGGGGGATGTCGATTGTCTGCGGCTTCGGCTGGCAGAGGATCGACTGGCACACCTCCCTCGGCTCGCAGACCCGCTTCGGGTAGCAGACGACGTACGGGTCCGGTATCATCGACGGGTAGTAGATGACGCGTGGCTCCCGCACCATCTGCGAGACCCAGATCAGCTTCGGCACCTTGATGACTCGCGTGGCGTCGACCACCTTCGGGATCGTGATCTGCCTGCATCGGTTAACGACCATCGGCTCCGGCACTATCTTCTCGGTGAAGACGACCCGCTTCTTGCAGATCATGCGAGGTGGCTGCTGCACGGTGATGCACTTGGGGAAGGGCGGCGGAATGCGCGGCGCGCATTGCGGCAGGGCCTCCAGCTGCGCTGAGTTGTAGCACTTGGGCGAGCACTCGAAGGGCCCACAGCAGGGGTCGCAGGGTCCACATCCCGGTCCACACGGCGAACACATTTTGTTAATCGAGAATTCCAAACAATATCCAAAAAAAATCGAGAAAAACTAATAATTTCGTAAAATTATTTTGCTACTAAATTTGTTAGTTAAATTTGGATCCTTGTCGAAGCGAAACTGAAATCGAAATGAGATCTGGCTGTAGCTCGAGCAGTAACACGGGACTGGAATGATTGTGCCTACCTACTTGATTCGGAATAAAATGAATTCCATACATGGAAGGAAGCCTACTGCTCAGATCAGAAAATATTTGTTGCTGTACAAAATTGACATAAATTTTGGTGGCCATGCAATAAGGCAATATATGCAAAATTGTATGTACATTCTCTATGGTTGCATTCTGTTAAAAATGCAAGTTCTCTATGACAGCAAGCAGGAAAGTATTTTGGGGGATTGTCGGCTCTTATTGTTGCACCGGCGGATGCCAATATTCTATAGATCTAAACTTGCGGGAAAGAATTGCATTCAACATGCCTTTAATCCGAAGCAAATAAAACAGGAGGTTATTTTAAATCAGACAGGCTCCGGCTTTCACTTACTTTTTACGTTTTTACGTTTTAAGTTTTTAGCCAAAAGTCATTCGGTGGTTTTTATTATACCCGTACTCAAAAAAGAGTTAACGGGTATATTCGATTTGTGGTAAAAGTGGATGTGTGTAACGCAGAGAAGGAAACGTTTCCGACCCCGTAAAGTATATATATTCTTGATCAGCATCAATAGCCGAGTCGATAGAGCCATGTCTGTCTGTCCGTCTGTCCGTCCGTCCGTCTTGTTTGACGCCTGGATCCCAGAGACTATAAAAGCTAGAGGAACCAAATTTTGTTTCCAGACTCATGTGATATCACTACAAGTGTATTTCAAAATTTCTAAAATTCTATAAAATCATATGCTCAAAAATGTAAATAGTACGGATATAAGTAGAGTCGCGTCTTTAGAAGCGACTCACATGTTCCTTCTCGTTTTTTACTATTAACCGGGGACATTAGAATCTAATGATCAGACTTTGCTAACTGACAAGCTGGAAAAATAGAGATGGTCTTTTGGGAAATGCCCGCAGACAGAGCGAGAGAAGTATATGTGTGAAGCTGTCTCTTCGGTTAAGCTGTGGCAGAATTAATCCATTGTTTTACTTTGCGGATTCAATTTTGCTGGCTTGGTGGCTGTGTCTGCTGGGGAACATAATTTTGTTTCAAGTATTGCCCCAGTTGTTCGACTCAAAGCCATTAGACGTGTCTAGAGACGGCTACGAACAATAATTTTGCATTCTGTCTCTCAAGCTATCGCTCTCTAGGCAGAAAAATTGGCAAAGTCTAATGTCATAGCACTATTAATAATAGCAGCAAATAAAGCATCGTACAATATATCGTTCCATAAGAATGTCGTTCCCTGATTTGATATATCGCCCGAGTACCAGGCTATATGAGGGCATGCAATAAAGTAGGCAGTGAGCGATCCGTTTAAATTGTATTTTTTTAATTACAGCCCATGGGGTTTTCAGCTGGTTTTGACAATGCAAATTTACTGTAGACTTGGAAAATTTTTTTTGTTTAGCAGGACTCCCCAAACGTTGTAGTCATCAGTTTGAGAGCCATTTTGAGCCGATTAACAAGGACCACAGGCCACTCCAGCGCGACAACGTGTACTCCAGCGTAGGGTTTTTTGGCGGCGGCTGCTTAGCAGGGACCGCAAGGACCACAAGGCACTTGAGGGCCACATGGTCCGACCGGTCCACAATGTGTGTTCCACGGAGTGGGGGCGCACGGGTAGCAGGGTCCACACTCAGGCGATTCGTAAGGACACGGTGGCGAGCACGGCCCACAAGGTCCACATGGTCCACAGGGGCCGTTCAGACCACAGCCACCCGTGCCGCAGGGGCCACAGGGTGCCGGGATGAAAGGACCCGAAGGCATGGTCAGACCGCAGGGTCCGCAATTGGGCACAGCGCACGGCCCACAGGGACCACAACGTGGTCCACATGGTCCGCAGCCACCCGGACCACACGGGCCACAAGCTCCAGGCCCACAGGGTCCGCAGCGAGGACCACAAGGACCGCATCCAGGTCCACATCCAGGACCACAGGGGCCACAGGGCCCACAGCGTCCCTCGGCAATGGGATACTGGTTGGTGGAGAAGCACGGCAAGGGGCAGCATCCTCCGCCCGGGGCACAGGGTCCAATGGGGCACGGCGGACAGGCGGCGCTCGGCTTGTAGTTGATGGGTCCGTTCGGGTAGCAGCAGTACTCCCTCGGAGGGGGGATGTCGATTGTCTGCGGCTTCGGCTGGCAGAGGATCGACTGGCACACCTCCCTCGGCTCGCAGACCCGCTTCGGGTAGCAGACGACGTACGGGTCCGGTATCATCGACGGGTAGTAGATGACGCGTGGCTCCCGCACCATCTGCGAGACCCAGATCAGCTTCGGCACCTTGATGACTCGCGTGGCGTCGACCACCTTCGGGATCGTGATCTGCCTGCATCGGTTAACGACCATCGGCTCCGGCACTATCTTCTCTGTGAAGACGACCCGCTTCTTGCAGATCATGCGAGGTGGCTGCTGCACGGTGATGCACTTGGGGAAGGGTGGCGGAATGCGCGGCGCGCATTGCGGCAGGGCCTCCAGCTGCGCGGAGTTGTAGCACTTGGGCGAGCACTCGAAGGGCCCACAGCATGGGTCGCAGGGTCCACATCCCGGTCCGCACGGAGAACACATTTTGTCGACTTAAAAAGTTCCAAAATAAATTTCAAAAAAGAATATATTAAAATTTTTATCAAAAAATGTGTTTCAGAATTTTTTTCAAAAAATTTTATAGAGAATTTTTTCACAATTTGGAGTTGGTCGGAGCGAGACTAAAAACTGAATGAGATCGAACGGAGACTACAACAGCATGGGGGCCCAAACTATCTACAAGGCCGCCTAGGATTGATATTTTTTACGGTCCTAAACAGGCCCCAAACGGAAAGTTTGCATGCCAACAGGCAAGCTATGACTCCTGATTCAGTTGATGGGCTAAGTAGCCCCATTTTCATATACACGTATGCGTAGCTTTAATAAAGTTTGGTTAAACGCCACTCAATCGCGGAGCACTTGCAGTGAAAAAATTCCATTAGTGACTCTTGAATGAAATGCATTTCCATAAACGAATTTTATCTCCGCATGAGGTATGCGGGCTTGTCCGGGACGATCTCTGTATATTTATTTCTGCAATATGGCATCTGCCGCTGAGTGGGTTTAAGCCTTTAATATGCTAGCGCCTTTATGCAGGCAGTTTCAATTTTTTTTCGCCAATCCATAAAAACTGCCTTGGAAAAAACTACAACGAATTACAGAAAAACGCCAGAAAACACTTTACGGCCGATGCTGGACTATTGAATATATATGTGTGTATATCTCTTCTTTTTTTTTCGTGCCCTGCCTGGACATGTCAGCAGGGAAAAAGCGTTTGGTCGCTGTGTGGCGGCTGCAAAGCTTTATTGTATGGGGGTGCAATCAGCGCTTTGTGCACGCCACCACCATGGCGACGCTGAACAATTGGGCAAAAATTCGAAAAAAAAAACACACACAAAAAAATATAACAAAGAATTTGGTCACGCCAGAGCATCGATGTTGACAAAGGCTTTTACAGGGGATTTCAGGTAAATTCTAAAATATTTTCTTCATTTTTAAATGGATCACAAAACGGCGGTCCGGTCTGGACACCGAACTGACATTACACAGACGAAATTTGAGTTATTCTGCTTTTTAATAGAAAATAAATTGGCTCTATAAATTGTATTAAACATTCAATGATTGCTTGGAGTCTTAAGTCTGGTAAGATTTAATTGAATTTAAAGAGGGAGAGAGAGAGAATGCAGTATAGCTTAAAGTCTATATGCAGATGTAGATGCTGATTTAATCTCTGCTCCTTTCCTGAATATCATATCATTGGCAATCTTTGGCTGAAAATATAATGTGCTAGTAAGAAAATGTCGCCGCAATCGGTACATGAACAAATTGGGCTTCGGAGTAGTTTTCTTTCGTACTGTTTTTATTTGGTATATTACCAGGTTAAGGTCTTAAGGTTCAAAGTGCTTAGCTTTGGTGTTTCATTATGTCTAAGTGCAATCATGCACAAGGTGTGAACTAATATCCAACCTGTGGGTCAGCTGGAATGGGGTTTTTGCTGTTGCCATAAATACAACGTTCTGATATGTGTACACAGATGCATTCAGCTGGCCATTGCCTATTTATTTAGGTCAGCAGTGCATCTTAATTATATATTTGTTTTGGGTCACTTAAGGCATATCAGCAATTGTTTTAGTTCCCCTTATGGCTTCCTATTTATTTAGGTGTACAATCCCTGCTGTAGGTAGATAATTGTTTTGCCTCTTCTGGTGGAAATTTAATTTGATTGAATTATGTTTTACATTTTATAATCTGAAACAATTTTTGCAGCCAAACGTTTATTCAATCGATTTGATTTTGGTCTCTAGGCATTTGCATAGTAATACTTGGCCTGTAATAACAATCGCAGGGCTTAAGGCCACAATTATGCAAGAAAAACATCAACTTCTTTGGGTACTAGGACGACTCTTATCGAGGACCGACGGTCCCCAAAGCATTTGGCGCTTCTGTCTCCTCCGGCCACAGACAAAGCGCCTGCTAATCCCACCATTTGCAGGGACCCAAAACCCTGTCTAATCACAGCTATGCCACTCGGCAGGCATCACCCGAGCGGTTGTGCTGTGCTTTGCCCCCGAAAATTGTCAGCTAATAATGCAAACAATAAGAGGCAACAGTCCGAAGAAGTGGCGCAAATTTGGCATAATTATGAGTACCGCCTCAAGTGGAGTGTGGATACTTGTCGCTAGATACACTCCGGCTAAGGCGGCGCAATTAGCGGACTTAGTTCTGGGGCCAAGATAGAGCAGCAAACAGAGGCGGGCCATAAATTGGTGGTGGGCCGTAAGAAGGCCTGCCGGCACCCAGATAGAGCAGCAAGTGTCAGTTGTCAGATGGTGGTGTCCCCTTGGTTGAGGGGACTGGCTGCGCTGCCTTTATGTGTGCGGTTGGTCGGATTTCCTTCCGCTTGATGTTGCAGGTTCGCTGGCATATTTCTTTAATGAATTTAATCGCGCGTAATAACCCAGTCGGTCCTAGTTTGAA